ATGAAAGCGGAAACGTGAAATTAAGGGACATTTTTTTTGTGTTTTTTTTACTTTATGACCCTGAGCTTAAGTGTTTTAACTTGATAATAAATAAACAAAAAAAAAGGGAAGATTATGATTTCTTAAAAAATATTTTCTCTTGGTTTTAAAAGAATAATTGATTCTAATAAAAAAAATGTTTTAATTTTAATATTTTAAAATGTTTTTTAATTTTAATATTATAAGAAAATGTTCTTTATTTTTATATTATAAAAAAATATTTATTTTAATATTATAAAAAAATATTTTTAATTTTAATATTATAAAAAAATATTTTTAATTTTAATATTATAAAAGAAATGTTTTTAATTTTAATATTATAAAAAAACCAACTTAAATATTATTAAAAATTTGATAATTAAGAAAAGAAGAAAAAAGAAAATAAAAAATAAAAGGGTTGGGCCGGTCACTACCTCCGGACCCAACCCGGTGGAAGCAATTGATCAAAAGAGTCTTTTAGGGTTTCATAACCCTAAAAGCCCTTCTGCGGCGCCGTTTGCATCTTCCTTTTCTCTCTTTTCTCTCTCGCGGCCGTTCTTCTCCTTCCTCTCGTCTTTCTATGGATTCAATTCCTGCACAACAAAATGAAGAAACAGAACATAATGAGTTAGCAAGCTTTACGTTTTCCGGGCGCTTCTTGACAGTGACGGTGATGGTTCCGTAACGGAGAGCCTATGATGGAAACTGAGGCTTCGTGTTGATCGCCCTTGTTTCAACGAACAACGGTGGCGGTCTTCGCTTCTTCGCGGCCGTTCGATGAATATCCCTTTAGGGTTTTGTTCTTCGCCGTTTTTCGTCCCTCTCCGTCTAGGGTTTGCGATCTTCCTTTCTTTTTTACAGGTGAAATCGTCCCCTTCTTATAGTTTTCCAATTTCATCTTTTTGGGCCTTAAACTGAGATTTGATTCTATAGTGATATTATTTGATTCGGTTTTGTTTGGGTTTTTCCAGATTGGATTCAACTATGATGCTTTCTGATACGATTAGGATCTTGTTTCTTCACTTGGAATCCTGATTGAGGTTTTGGTGAGATCGAATCACATTCTATTTCCTCTTTTAGAACCTGATTGAGCTGATATGATTTCCTGATTTGATTCACTTTTATTATTCTGAACTGATTTGCTTTGATTTACTTTGGGACTAATTATCAAATCAAAATCTCTCTATCTTTTTGATATGGTTTGCCTCCAGATTGGATTGATTGATGTTTGATTTTAATTCCCAGGATTCCTTAATGGATTCGTATCTCTGTTTGATGTTTTGATCTCGAACTGATTCGTTTTTTTGATTGGTTCGCTTTGATGCAGCTCAGATTCTTTTCCTCTTCTTCTTTCAGAGAGGACATTGATATTGAAGCTTTGGTCGAGCCGAAATTGTCGGGAACGGTAAGCGGTGATGATGACTGTGTTCTGAACCCTCGAGGAAATACTTCTCGATGCTGCTGCGATTATCTTTTGCCGTGTTCTGGGGAACGTGGTTCAGAACACGAGTTGGGGTGCTACTTTGAATCGTTTTCTGATATGGTTTCGAGTTCAATTTACTCTTCCGGTTTTGAGTTTATTGACCCTCTTTTTCAGAACTGATACTGACGCTATTGAGTCGAAAGCTGCCGAGGATGGTCACGTGGTGATGATGACCACTGGTCTGAACCCTCTGCATTACTTCTGATTTGATTCTCCAATTTTTCAGGTGCTGAACTGTGATTACGATGCGTATGTCCCCTTTTCGTCGATGCAGTTGCCGTTGATTCTCACTTGGTGTAGGCTAGTATTTGGACTGATGTGTATATTGTTGGGCTATGATGTTTGAGCTGAGCCCGCGTCCCGTACCTTCGGTTTTCCGCTCATACAATTTGTGGACTGGCTTGAATCTTTTAACACGACTGTGGTGTGTTATGCAGGTTCCAGTAACATGGACTTCCTCCTCATCTTTGAGTTGAACTGGTATGAATCTTCCTTGTTTTTCAAGTTGACTTTGAGTTTGATTTCTTGTTTGAATTGAACTTAACGGGCAGTTTGTATTCTCGTGAACTGTATCTGTTCCTCAGACTCTTTAGCCTTTTGTGAGTTGTTCTTGCAGCTTGTGGTTCATTTCTCTGCTTTGAGTTTGGTCAATCTCTTTGTGACATTCAATTTGTCAGTTGTTTTTACTATTTCTTTCTGAACTGTAATTTGATTATGAGGTTTACGCCCCTTTTTTTTTTGCAGTTTATGGTTTGTTGATTGAACTGATATGTTGTTCTGTCACGTGAACAGCCATGCTGTTTTCTGATCTGAACTGCTGTCTCTTCTCCGGAGTTGAGCCTAAACTGATTTCACAGATTTTTCCTGAACAGAACTGGCTCTACCCTTCTTCTAAGCATGAATTTGTTTCTTTGCTTATGAACATGTGTTGTTGTACATATGGTGACTTGACTTATCTGCTCATGTTTTGTGGAGCTTATGACTTCTGTTGGTAACAGACTTATACTGTTCTGGCGCGAGCCCCTTCCTGGTTTTGTTTATGCTGATGATACTTGGCTTTTCAGGTGTTGGAAGTTTTTAAAACCAAGGAAACTCAGACCTGCCGGCATCCGGGTCTGGGCCAGAATTTTGCCTATGTTGCCTTATTTTCGTATCAGTTTGGAAATCCAATCGTGGCAAAACGAATCAGTTCCACTTCATTTATTTTTTCTATCTCTCGGATGTCCCATATGGATAAGAACATGTATTACCTTATCTGACGCCCACGGCGCGGATCGGTAACGGGGGTAGGACGCAGCTTCGGTTGTGCCACTCCCAGCACTCGATGATGACATTGTTCTGAGAGTGTCGAAAAAACTTCTAACATTTTTCCTATTCTGTTTGTTCTGTTTTGATGTGCAGGTAACCGGAAACGGAAATCATTGAGAACAAGATTAAAGACTTTAGCTTTTTAGGCTTATGTCTTAGGACAGAAAAAATAATGTAACTAGGATTCTCTTGTAATTTGTAAACAAAGAGTTTAAATGAAATAAAATTCAATATTTTCCTTTCATTCAATTTTCTCTCAATTTTCTTTTATGCCTTGAATGGTTTATGTTTCATGAGTCATGAACTTTGAAATATTTTCACTGTTATGCAATAAAGATACCACTTCTGCCCATCGCCTTTGAATATTTGAACATACCCTAAAACCTCAATTTCCCGTTCCAAGACATGATAACAAAAGGGAGAACTCGTGTTATGAATTGAGTTTGAAATATTCTCTAAAACAACCTGATTAATCCCCGAATAAATTCAAACTGACTTTCGCTGGTCACATAACTTCTCAAAACAAACCCGACAATATCCACTCCATTTTCGATCCAAAATTGCGCATTACTTAGAGAAAAGAAACTGCTCAAGAATGTCTTGAACAAAAACCATAAGCAAGGAACGACCCAAGTCTAGTTATGTCTTAAAACAAAAACCATAAGCAAGGAACGGCCCAAGTCTAGTTAATTCTGAAAAACATGCAGGCACCTTGACCCACGTGGCAAATAAATGCCTCAGGAATGATGTCTCAACACTTGCGGTTTCCATGTAAAATGACCAAAATGCCCCTGGGGTAATTCAAACAAATTATGCTCCATGACTGGTTAGTGGTTAATGGATTCAAAATGAAATGCTATGCGAAATGACTGACTAAATGTAAGGGTAAAATTTGGGGTATTACAATGGGCGTAATTGGCCTTCAAAGAAACGCGTCGTTTTCAAGGTTGATCTATTTACGAATTCGACTTACTTGTTGCCATCGCTAACTCGATTTCGCTTTCGTCAAAAGCCCGAAGATGACTCTAACGTCGCATTAGACAAAATGGAGAACACGCTTGAATCGTGTGAATGGGATGCGATCCTCAACATCACAACACAATATTGTTAAGTATAGGAAATCCATACCTCAGAGTAAAATCAACACAAAAGCTTCGACTGCGTCGGAAAAAATCGAAGATGAGTTTTCTAAATTCCTTCTTTTTTTGCTTCTGTTACGAATCGTGTATTATTCGTCTCTTTATATGCTTTAGAAATTAAATTGACATTATAAACATATTGAATGTAGCTTCCATTTTTAATAGATTATGTTTGAGACAAGTTAAAGCCGTGCCGATTTTGTTTTTAGACAGAAAAATAATAGCTATAATTTCTTGCCATGAATACACAATTTCAATTTTGGAAACAAACACTGATTTTATGTTTTGAAAATCTTGTGATTCTTCTCATCAATGCCTTTAAATCCTTGTCACAGCTATGTTTTTTTGTGATTGAAAGTTGTTGCAGGACATGTTTCTGTAATTTTGGAAAGTAAATGAATCCCTGTCGAACATGTTTCCTTGTTTGTTTTTAGAAAGAATCTGAAATGGTCTCAATTTCATTTGTAATTTATCAATGCTACTTTCACTTATTTTTCAGCACATCAAGTCTTGTACGGTACTAAGACCACCTCCAACGGTGGTTTTTCAAATTGGTTTGCCAGCTTGGCATTGAAATTGTCAACAAAAAGTTGTTCCAGCTGGTGAACGTTACAAACATAAGCAATGGTTCTTCATTTTTTTTATTATTAAAATAATCATTTAGCCGTTGTGCAACGGCTTTATTTATTTTTTAAACTTTTTTTATTTATTATAAATATAGGTTTGTTGGAAAAATTGTATACCAATCCTATTTTCTCTCACTTTTATTTACTCTTTAATTTCAAATTTCTCTCTCACAATTTCATCATTTTATTCATAAATATTTAATTTTTTTTCCAACAATTTCTTCTCATTATCATTTTATTTCAAATTTTCATCTTTTTATTTCAAATTGAATTTGTTTAGGCCAAATGGATCCTAATCATTTTCATTATCAACAAGCTATGTTCAATTTCATGCAAAATTATCAAAATCCTAATTCTCAAAATTCTCAAATTCCATCAGTACCACCAAACCCCGCCATGTTTTTTCCGTCACCAAACAATCAAAATATGTATCAAAATCCTAATCCTCAAAATTCTCAAGTTCCACTATTTTTCGGTGAAAGTACCTCAATTGAGTGCTTAGAAAGATTCATTAAGGGCGTGAATGTTGTATTTGGGGTTGAGTATTTGCGAAAGCCTAACAACACGGATATTGAACATCTTTTACAAATGGGTGAGTCACGTGGCTTTCCAGGTATGTTGGGTTCCATTGATTGTATGCACTGGGAATGGAAAAATTGTCGGCTTGCTTAGAAAGGACAATTTTGTCGAGGTGATCATGGTAAACCCACAATCATGCTTGAGGTTGTGGCATCACAAGACTTATGGATTTGGCATGCATTTTTTTGGTATTGCAGGTTCTAACAATGACATTAATGTGCTAAACCAATCTAACGTGTTTAACGATATTTTGGAAGGACATGCTCCCACTGTGCAATATACAATCAATGGAACACCATATAATATGGGGTATTATTTAGCGGATGGTATATATCCTGAGTGGGCTACATTTGTCAAGACCATTTCAATGTCGCAGGGAGAAAAGAGAAGATTATTTGCTCAACATCAAGAATCAGCTAGAAAAGATGTGGAGCGGGCATTTGGAGTGCGCCAGTCTCGATTTGCAATTATACGTGGTCCAGCGCATGCTTGGCACATGGAAACCCTCAAGCATATAATATATGCTTGCATCATATTACACAACATGATTGTTGAAGACGAACGACACACATATGGAGGTGATTTTGATTACTCTTATGCTAATGTAGATGACAACAACTCAACAACTGAAACATTTAACGGTCTCCATCCGAATCTTGCAACAAGGCTACAAAGAAGAGCAAATATTCGTGAAAAACAGGTTCATCGCCAACTTCAAGAAGATCTGGTCGAGCATATTTGGGAACGTTTTGGACATGAGGAAGATGAAACTTAAATGACGAATTATGTGATGTTATTTATTTTTATTATTTTTAATTATGTGATGTTATTTATTTTTATTGTTTTTAATTATGTGACATGTATTTAAATTTAATTTTAATTATTATTTTCAATTTTATGTTTAATTTTAATTTGTATTTATATTAATTAAAATTTAAATATTTAAATTATAATTTTAAATAAAATAAATTTAGTATAAATAATATATTTTAAGTAAAGTGGTGGGACCCAATATGGGTTCTTTGGAGTTGCACCATTGGAGTGAAAATTGAATGAGTTGCTTTAAAAGAGTGGGTCCCACAAAGAACCTAAAAATGGGTTGCACCATTGGAGGTGCTCTAAAGTCCAAGTCATGTGGGGTACACCTAGAACTGCTGGGTCATTGAATGGAGCTCAGGTATTAGGTAGTAGCTGCGGTTTCCAACAACAACTCTTCAGCCACACGTGAAATACAGGACTTCGTCTCTTTGAAAATGATGCCTAATACATCTCTAAAGCATCTTTTCAAGCAATGTATGTATATTACTTCATGTGTTTTGGTTTTGGTACAGAGTTGATACGTATTAAACTTCAAATGAGGGCTTAGGTGAATAAAGGTGGATGTGCGCTAGAGGGGTCGTCATGCGGACAAATATTAAATGTTGTTTGGAACATCAAGATGGAGTGTGGGGCAATGGATTAACTACTTGGATATGCCCTTTTTGTAAAAGAAATCCCATAACATTATATCAAGCCCTTATTGAATTTGTCTTGTATTTTGGAACTTGGTATGATTGTGTAATCTTTGCAAACAAATTGAATCCTTGAATTGGGTACTTGTATTTTATTATGAACAAATTTTCTACATCATGCTTGAAACAATGGATGCTCATGTGAGCTTTGTAAAGACTTGCATTTTGGTATTCTCAGATTTTGTATTGTAGAAGGAATTTCAATTGTAAGGCTTAATTGTTGACATGATTTAAACTTGGAATGGTCTTAAGTTGTAGTGACTTTGAATTTTAGCATAGTGGCATATGGGTTTGCTTAGGATTTCTATGATGCCTTGAATAGGAATTTCAACTCTGGAGCAAGCTCTTGTAATTTGAGTTTTGAAGTAGAATTTGAACATGCATTTGATTTATGGGAGTAAAACTTTAAACTTAATCTTATGTGATTGCCAAATTTTCTTGAGTTTAAAATTGAGATAATGCTTTGAGTTTAGCATAAATTAGAAATCTTGTAGTTTTTGTCACATGGAATGACTACCTTTTGTATCTTTGGACAACTATCCTCTATGTAGAATCTCCTTGGTTTAAAATTGAATTTTCTACTTAGATCCTTAAATGGCGATGAGCAATGTTCTTCATGCTTGACTTTGCCGCTTCGAAAGTATTTAATCATATAATTTCTTCAAATTGTAATAAGTTTGGCTTATGGACCACTTTTGAACATCCTTAGACTTTTTATTCTTTATGAGCTTTCCGTCTATCATGGTTTCGAATAAAATTAGATGACTCGTTTTTTTAAAAACATAACACTTTTGAATCTTGAATAATGATGAACGTCGCCTTAAAATCTTTAAGCAAAATGATTTGAATTTCTTGACTTGTAATTTGAAGAATTTCTTGAATTGTGATTTGAAAACTCTTAAGTTGTAAGGACCCAAAAAGTTGGCATAGATCAAACTTCTTGCTTTATATCCACCATTTTACGCCAGTCCATAAATTCATATCCTTTTAAAGCAACAATAATCTTTGAACAAACTTCTATTACTGGAGTTTCAAACAGGCTATGCAAGACAAAACTTAGGGAAAAATAAATGTCCAAGAATTGATATCGCCTGAAAACACTCTCAAGTTTGTCATCTCCATCATTCAATTTAACCACTTTCTTCTTGACGGATTCATAGAAAACATTTTGCTGAAGCTTCAAGTAACCTTTTGGGCCATGCCACACTCTGTCACGTGAACTAATACTTTGGGGCTTTGGAAATGAGAACACCATTTGTAATTCAACATACCACCAAATTACATCCAGTTTTTACACAACTATCCTTGAAATTGGTGTGTAGGAAATGTTATCTTCTTTAGGAGATTTCTTAGCAACCTCTGAGGGAATCATTGACCTTATAAAAGAGTAGAATATTGATGGGCATACGCGCAGGGTCTTCAGGACTTTCAGACTTTCCTCAGCAAAACTACAAAATAAACACCAACTAGATAAAACGGTTAGCTATGCATGGATGATGGACCTAAATGATGTGCAAAAAGAAGTAATGAATCTAAGGGTAAAATTTGGGGTACGATAGGTACCAAGAAGATGTACATTACCAAAGTCTTCGCAACTGTCAATAATCATCACCCCATCATAGACACGATTGTACTAATTAATGTCAGAGTGAGTGAGAGCCATGATCTTCTGTGACCACCATCCTTTCTTAGGGTCCCAAAAAGTGTTAGCCTTAGGCAAGTACGAAGTAAACCACTTGTATAATAAAGGAACACAACAAGTGATCATTCCTCCATCGTGGTACTTCCTTAGATGAACAGAATGGTAGGCATCCGCTAGCAAAGTAGGCACAAGGTTCTTCCTCAAGAAGATTTTAATGGCATTGAGGTCCACAAAGTTTTCAAAGCTAGGGAAAAAAAGATACCATAAATGAGCAAGGAAAGGGTAGCCTCGAATGCGTCCATGCTCAAATGGTCAACGTAATACTGAGCTTTCCCCACCAAAAACTCTACAGTCAAACCAAAAACTCCCCCTTTTGTAGTCATATTATTTTGAATATCAACCAATCCTAAATGAGTAGCTTTAGCAATATCCTGCTCCTTAGGGTCTTTCTCCATGATAGGAAAATGAGACTCGTCAAGAATGGGCAAACCAACCAGATAAGAGTATTCTTCTAGTGTAGGTACGAGCTGATAATCAGGGAAAGTAAAATAATGGTAGACTGGATCGTAGAACTGAAGTAGTGTAGAGAGGAGTCCATTATCCATCTTTATCCTCAACAATGACAAATAGTTTTCCATATCTTCTCTTGAACCCTTTTGGATCTATCACCAAAGTACCCAACCTCCTTAGGTCATCCAAGTTAAGACTCTTGTAAGTGTACTTCAATGTTTTCTTCCTTTCACTATCCATGACAAACCTGATGTTTATAAACAAAAGTCTAAGTTCCACGAAACTTTTATGATATGATGCTCATGATTGCAAGGTATGCACAAACACAGGCAATCAAAGATTCACATATACACACATATGAACAGGTAAACAAACAAAGGACCTAGGTTTAGAGAACACGAGTGGGGGCCATGGTCTACCCATCCCAATATATGTGTACTGAAGGTTCTCAAATCTGTAGAACAAGGTTCTAAGAAATTCCTAGAGTCAATAACCCATCTTTCGGATATTATCAAATTACTCGGTAGTTGATAATACTCCCTCATAGTCATCGCACTGCATCCCAACAAGGCCAAAGTGGGGTGAAAAGGTAACTAAAGGTTCTCAGCTTCACGGGCTCCTAGGTGGAAATTAGCAATGTTTTCACGAATACTCGTTCAACAAAACTACTCCCAAGAGGGCCTCCACTGAGCGGTGGTTTCTTAAGTCAGCTTGGTCGGGAATAAACTCTCTATAAGCCTTCTTGAATATACCACCTTCCTATCATAGGTGCACTCAAGTCTGGGTATAGGACTTATCCTCACCATTCAAAGTAACAACCCTGTACGCAGTAAAACCCAAGCACAATAGGCATATATACAAATCACAAATATACAAGTATACAAGCAAGCGAGCATATAACAAACACAAATACACACAAGGTGGGCTTAACCCTCTTAGGGGAAAAGGTTTCCTCGTGGAAGTCTCCATTTCCGTTGCGGTGAGAATTGGATATCAAGCTATTAATTAACTTGAATCATAAATGATGAAGTTCACCACGAGCTTTGATTTATCCAAAGGAAAGGGTAAAGATCGAAGAAAACCCTAAGTACGCTATGTAACAACACAGCTAGAGATCTAAGGTTCGAGGGTTGGTTATACCTAGGGAAGATGTTAGCATCCTAAGTATTTGTAGTACTCTACAAGAACCTCTTGTTAGTATTTTTTTATGTAATAGTTTGCTTGCTAAGGAAAGGGTGCTAAGGTAAAGACCTAGGGTATATACAAAGTATGCTTGCCAAGATATTGCATCTTATGCCTATGTATCCTAACTAGGATGAAATTAGAGCAACTATAGTTCACCTAACTAGGTATGAGGAACTCTTGATAACAATCAAGGTTCTAAGGGGAAGTAAGTATTCATAATCATGACACTTACATAGAGTTAACCAACTCTCTAAATCTAAGTTGAAAATCCTAACTAGCGTTGACTTTAACCAAAGTCAAAGGGGAAAATGAGTACTCATAACCATGATACTCACATAGAGTTTACCAACTCTATACCTAATTCTAAGTTGCAAGGCCAATTGGTTCTAACTAGACCAAAAAGAGGGCGATAAGTGTTAGTTGTTAGTGGTTAGAGGGCTCGACAAGATATCACATCTTTTGCCTACGTATCCTGACTAGGAAAGGGGAATCAGAGCCTCCATAGTTTGGCTGACAAGGGATGAGGAACTCTTGACTATGGTCAAGGTTCCAAGGGGAAGTAAGTATTCATAACCATAATACTTACACAGAGTTAACAAACTCTCTAAGTATAAATTGAAAAGATGACAAAGGTATTGACTTTAGCCACAATGGGATAGAGGATCGTCAAGAATTAACCACAATGGGATAGAGGATCGTCAAGGTTAATTAAGAATTAACTGAGAATAAAACATAATTAAACCACACTCTAATTAAACAAAAATCTAATTAAAAACTACTTTACTAATCTAACCAAATCAATTTACTAATTAAAAACTAAATCCTAGTTAAACTAAAATCTAATTAAAAACTAACAATTAAAAACAAAATTTAATTAACACCAATTAAACCAAGATTTAACTAAAACTAAATTAACAAAATTCTAAA